ACGCCTCTTTGGCTGCTTTCATAGTCCGCCGGCCGGCGGACTATGAAAGCAGCCTTTGATTCTCCAAGTTCGGATAATATCCGTAGATTAAGGGTTATGCTAGGCGTAACGTTCTCCTTCATAGGTAAAGTGCTTTCCACTGGCTACATTGCCTGTTGAAATTTCTGAGCAAACTGGTTCTTGGTCTAAATCAATCTTGACCATGCGCCAAGCAATAATGTTGTACGTTCACCAGCTTTCTTAAGTCTGATCGAGGGTAAGCTGGTCTTAGAATGCCACCTTGTCTTCTTTGAATTGGTCCTACCGAACATTCAAGAAGAATTCACAAGAGAAACAATTGAGGGGACTTTGGAACAAAAAAGTAGGGCTTCTATTTTTGATTGGTCAAAACTGGAACTCTCTTAGTATTCAACTCAAACACAAAGTCCATCCCCCGCATCGGCCCAGTCTCTTCAAAATCACCAGTAAACTTTTGTGATTTCACAAAAACCCATAGAGTGAAAGCGTATGAATGAAATAGAATCTGATAAGAGTACCTTAAAAGCATGGAACCTTGAAATATCCACTTCAAAGCTCTCCCTCGTAACTTCTCGGGAGTTATAGAAGGTGCTACCAGAATTATGAGAGACCGACAACTTTCACTCGCTTTGATTGCTTGGTATGACTTCCACAGTATTCACAAAAGATACTTACAGATCAGTGTCTTTGAGGTTTTTCGGAACATCCACTCTGAAACGTGACTAATAGCTCACCAGATGCCTTCGAAAATCCGCTATGACACTCCACTCCAGCTAGAGGCTCCTAGCCATTTACGGCTAATGGCTAACCGGCTATGATCCAACGGCGGTCATTCTCTGACGGATCCACTTGGAACAAGTCCGGTCGGGAGCGGCTACGACTACGTAATAACGAATTACGAACGTAGAATCGTGCAATATCGTCTGGATGCCATTAAATCTTGTTGGAGTGGAAAACGAATCGAATGATGATTAAGATTTTAATGTTCAAGAGATGCTTTCTCGGAGATTAAGCAAAAAGTGGTCATACCTTCTCCCCATGTGGGCAAGAAGCCATTATGGAACTTTCTACGCGGGCTATGAAGAAGCGTTTAGACTGATTTCGAATCTCGAAACGAATCTTTCGAAACCTCTACTCCCTCTCTTACTTTCTTCTTTTTCCTCGAGCTTCCCCTGAGCTTGCAGAGATTTTCTTCTGTAGACGAGGAGAATACTACTTTCTGAGCAATCTATACGTTAGGGGCTTGAGTGAGGAGGCTCCATATCTCATGCACGGATAGGACCATAGAGAATATCTTTTCTTCTGTAGACAAATCAGGGAACACACTACTCTCGCGGACTCTTTCGGGAACCCTTCTCGTCATTACCTTCCTCCACAACATTTCTGCTGGCCTTTGTCAGACTTCATCTGAAGGCAAATCAGAAAAATTCTGACAGTCTGGTTTTCAACCTTGTTCGCCTTTTCTGGGTGAAGTCTTTCCTTACCTCTGTGGCCAAACTTTCCACGAACTTGAATTATTATGTTCATTGCAAATCGTCAAGCGCATTTGTTATTGGAACAAGCCCGTCGCACGGGTTAGACGAATATATCCGGTTTGCCCGAGATCGGAGCGAGTTCTTTGGAAACAACAGCAACTCACGGATAGATACCCACCATTCGGTTACGAAAATGTCGGCATTCAATCATAAACGCGTAGGTAGAAAGATGTCGGACTGCCAGTATAAGGTTGACCATGATGGGAGTTCGGTAGGGTGATTACCATGTGCATGATTGTCGTTTTGGAATTGGGCAAACCCCAGTATTTTGCAAGCCTTCAGGAAAGCTCTAGTTGGCCTTACAATATTCTCTGAACCTTTGCTGACTGGAAAAGTCGGATCTCTTATTATCAATAAGTATGCAGTTTGCAAAAATAATGTTATGACCAACTCCAACGGTTTGGAATAAGCCATTCGTGTCCTTCCACCACCATTCAAACCTTGCCTAATTTATCGGTTGCAGGAACTTGGGCTAAGAGTTTTATCAGAATCTCCTCATTTGAAAGCATTATTGAGTTGGATGGTCCACGTGACTGACC